ATGCTAATACTTTTGCTATCTTTTCTCTTAAACTTTTTTTATGATATCACTGTAGTAATAATTTAAACTTTTTTTTTGTGCAAGACATGTGACATATCAGGCGTTGTGGAGGGGCCTGAGTGTAGTCAAGCCTCATACTTCGTTTTGATAACTTTGCTCATTTAAGAAAAAAAAATGACTTGATAGGTCACCTCTATGAGTCCATTTTGAAGTCAATATTTTGTTGATTCAAATATGCTGAAAATTGGTATATAGGGGTTTTTAGGCACCAGAAAGCCGAGACTGACGTTAATTTTGCGATTTAGTAACGTTTTGATACGATTTCTATACAAAAACTGGCAAAAATGGTCGTTTACTTATTTTTTTTCCAATTTTTTTTTGTTGATGTCGATTTTATCATCGGATCAAAAAATTATGTTCTACAAAGTTTTTCAGAATGATGAGAGAAATTTTTTGGGTCAGCTGCCCTCCAACTCCCCCCACCCCTTAGGGGGGTCGGGGGTCATAACCCCTCAACCCATGGTTTTTTTGACGTGAAAACCAAAAATTCGGCTTCAGCATGCCAAAAAACCTTTAGAAAATGTTGTTCCCGATTCTGCCCGAACCAATTTTCACAAAAAGTAAGATCCCCCCATTTGGGGTCAAATACTATGAGACTATGGGTTATTTTGTGAAAATTGGCTCGGAGGGCATCTGGAAAAAACACTTTCTAAAGGTTTTTTGGCATGCTGAAGCCGAATTTTTGGGTTTTAGGTCAAAAAAACCATGGGTTAAGGGGTTATGACCCCTGACCCCCAGGGGGTGGGGGGAGTTGGAGGGCAGCTGACCCAAAAAATTTCTCTCATCATTCTGAACAACTTTGTTGAACATAATTTTTTGATCCGATGATAAAATCGACATCAACAAAAAAAAATTGAAAAAAAAGAAGTAAACGACCATATTTTTGCCAGTTTTGTACGGAAATCGCATAAAAACGTTATTATATCGCAAAATTGACGCCAGATTCGGCTTTTTGATGTCCAAAAAACCCTATATACCAATTTTCAGCACATTTGAATCAACAAAATATTGACTCCAAAATGGACTCGTAGAGGTGACCTATCAAGTCATTTTTTTTTCTTAAATGAGCAAAGTTATCAAAACGAAGTATGAGGCTTGACTACACTCGGGCCCCTCCACAACGCCTGATATGTCACATGTCTTGCACAAAAAAAAAGTTTAAATTATTACTACAGTGAAACCAAGCGCCCAATTACTCTGTGTATTAAGAAATAAAGGAAAAAATATAGTTTCTTAAAAAATATATATATTTTTTTTTGTATGACTTTCACCAAATGTGAGTACAGTAAATCCTGTCAATAGCGGAATCCCACGGGGACAATTTTTTTCCACTTTTGACACGAATTCCACTAAACTCAGATTCCATTAATAACAGGTTTTCACGCCAATTCAGAAATGGTTTTCCATTATTGAGGGTAAATTTGAAAAAAAAAAAATCGAAATTCACATATTTTTATCATTAATTTTTCAGGGGGTGATTTTGAATCGAAAAAAAAATTGACTTCCAAAAAACAGCTCAAATATCCCTAGCAAATCGAGAAAATATCTCTCGTGTTCGAAAAACCCTAGCAAATAAAAGAATTTTCCCCAAATTTTTTCCACTATTGAGGGTGAGCGTTTTCTGACTATTTTCCATTATTAGCAGGTCATTTTGTATGGACGAGCTCAATGGCGGAATTTTTTTTCCACTATTGACAAGAATTCCACTAAAGTCAGGTTCCGTTATTGACAGGTTGTTGGAAATAAAGTAGATTTATTATGATTGTGAATCGACAATGTTGATAAGAGCGGTCAGTGCTCTTAGGTCATAGCAAAAGAACAATGGTATATTAATTAAGATGCACTATTGTTAATTAGATACGCATGGTAATTAAAAATGTTCGAGAATGAATTTCAGTTGAAAACAAATATTGAGAATATTGAGTATTGTGTAAATGTTATTTTCGATATGAGATTTATTGAAGTGGGAGCTAAATTTGTAGATTATAAATCATATAAATATGGAATCAAATACTGAATAAAATTAGACTATTCGGCGAAAGCCAACAAGAAAGAACTTGGTGGTCGACGAGCGACTGATCATAGGTTCCGTTCAAAAAAAATTTGATCCTATCTCCGCTGTGTTAAATTAATCGACACGCATCAATTTCCTATATAAGTAACTATAGCTTCGTGCGCGACTCATTCTCTCCTTAAACATTGAAGTGTTAACATTAAAGAGGAGAGAGTTGCGGAGAGATTTAATTATATTTAATTATTAAATATGATGCCATTTATGCACCCCATTCTTTTTCATAGATTCCAAGAGCTCAAATATTTGATTTTATTTTTTTGCTTGTGTGTTTCAAAAATATATTTTTTTGGGCCGTGGTTTTGCAAGTTTATAATTTATTTCTATTTTTTTCGCCTAATTTTTTGTAGTTTTTCTAGTTACAAATTCAACGGATATAAGAATATGTTTTTATTTTTTTTCCGGTTGTGGTTTTGTGTGTTCTTGTACACATGTCAATAGTAATGAACTGTAAGCTAAACCATGCGCAAGTTAGAAAACCTCAATATGGAAACGTCAATAGATGACTTTAAACAGATTTTAAAACCTAACAAAATCTTATGTTTTCAAACCGCAAACAACTGATTATGTGTTTATCAAAAAAAACTATATAACAAACAATCATAAACAAAAAACTTAACAAACTTTACAAAAAATGGGATCATACATGACGCCAACGTTACTAGATTCCAAACTTCTTATATTAACACAATTTTTAGAATTTTTTATATACAGTTCTTCTATATAGAATCTCTTTGACATATTACTACATTTAGCTAAGACTTTTGCGTTATCAAAATCAAATCGATGATTGTTATCAATGGCATGTTGTGCTAATGCACTTTTATAACGTTCATTGTTGACCACTGTTAATTCATGTTGTCTCAATCTCTTACTCAACCATTGAGCTGTATTCCCTATGTATTCCTTATCACGGCAATCCAAACATTTAATGGCATAAATTAATTTGCTTTGCGATCTAATCGGAATCTTGTCTTTAACATTTGAGAACAGAGCAGCAACTTTTTTAGATGTATGAAATGAGATACGACAATCCATATACGTGCTGATCAGTTTAGAAATATGTTCTGAAATGCCATTGATATACTCCAACGAATAGAATTGTGTAATATTACTGCTTGTCATCACAGGTGTAGCATTTGTTGTGGTCGTCCTATTGTTATTACTATTGTATTTGTTGAAAATCCCATTAATTAATGGCCTAGGATAATTATTACGTGATAGAATTGTGAAAATGACGTCCTTCAAATCCTTTTGAGTTTTATTTGAGCTAAGTTTGCAAACCCTATCAATCAAACCCACTGCTGTGCTAATTTTGTTGTTCAACGGATGAAATGAATTTAAGTTAAGTACTCTACCACTAGCAATCGGTTTAATGTACCATTCAGTGGAAATACTACCGTCTAGATTATGTATTGTTAGTGTGTCTAGGAAAGGCAATTGTCCATTCTGTTCACTTTCCATTGTAAACTGAATAGATTTACAAACACTGTTAAATACGTCCAAAATGCCGTTTGCCATCCGTTCAGGTAACGCCAACCAAATATCATCCACATATTTCTTAATCGTTTTTATGTCATAGTTCAATGATTCTTTGACTTTATTAATAGCCTGGTCCAAAACCCAATCCATCAATATCTCCGCAATTATACAACTAATAGAGCTTCCCATAGGGGTGCCAAACACTTGTTTGTAATGTACGTTTCCAAAGGAGAAAAAACTGTTTGTAGTACAAAAATCAAACATTTCCATGAAAATTTCTTGTGTAAGTGTTGTGTATTGTTGTATTTCAATCCATCGACTGGAGACAATTCTCCTAATATCACTAATAGATGCGTTAGTGAAAAGAGACACTACGTCAAATGAAATCAAAATTTCTCCCTGTGTGAGTTTTTGATCTAATGCAAAGTTCTTGAAATCGTAAGAATTGCTGATATAGTATCTGGATTTTGGAAGTTTTTGTAATATGTTAGCCAAAAATTTAGACAAACCACTGGTAGCACTGTCTATATCCGCCACAATTGGTCTAAGCGGAATACCTGGTTTATGTGTTTTTGGAACAAAGTAAGCTTTAGGACACACTGCATTGTATGTTGTTAATTTCTTTTTGGTTGTCAAATCAATTAAGTCCTGCTCAAACATTTTCTTCACTAGCTGGTTGTTTTTCCTTTGCAATGATGAGGTTTGATCGGTAGCCACTACATACGTGTTGGTGTCAGATAGCATCTCTATAGCCTTGTCCATATAGTCATTTTTATTCATGAAGACCGTGCGTTGTCCTTTATCAGCTCTCAATACTAGTATATCATCATTGTTTTTAATAAAGTCTTTGAATTGACGTTCCAAGTTCGCAAAGTATTGCTCCTCCTTGCTAAATGGCTTGTTTAATTTATTAAGTAGTGAATTTGTGACACGATTTCAAGAACTTTGCATTAGATCAAAAACTCACACAGGGAGAAATTTTGATTTCATTTGACGTAGTGTCTCTTTTCACTAACGCATCTATTAGTGATATTAGGAGAATTGTCTCCAGTCGATGGATTGAAATACAACAATACACAACACTTACACAAGAAATTTTCATGGAAATGTTTGATTTTTGTACTACAAACAGTTTTTTCTCCTTTGGAAACGTACATTACAAACAAGTGTTTGGCACCCCTATGGGAAGCTCTATTAGTTGTATAATTGCGGAGATATTGATGGATTGGGTTTTGGACCAGGCTATTAATAAAGTCAAAGAATCATTGAACTATGACATAAAAACGATTAAGAAATATGTGGATGATATTTGGTTGGCGTTACCTGAACGGATGGCAAACGGCATTTTGGACGTATTTAACAGTGTTTGTAAATCTATTCAGTTTACAATGGAAAGTGAACAGAATGGACAATTGCCTTTCCTAGACACACTAACAATACATAATCTAGACGGTAGTATTTCCACTGAATGGTACATTAAACCGATTGCTAGTGGTAGAGTACTTAACTTAAATTCATTTCATCCGTTGAACAACAAAATTAGCACAGCAGTGGGTTTGATTGATAGGGTTTGCAAACTTAGCTCAAATAAAACTCAAAAGGATTTGAAGGACGTCATTTTCACAATTCTATCACGTAATAATTATCCTAGGCCATTAATTAATGGGATTTTCAACAAATACAATAGTAATAACAATAGGACGACCACAACAAATGCTACACCTGTGATGACAAGCAGTAATATTACACAATTCTATTCGTTGGAGTATATCAATGGCATTTCAGAACATATTTCTAAACTGATCAGCACGTATATGGATTGTCGTATCTCATTTCATACATCTAAAAAAGTTGCTGCTCTGTTCTCAAATGTTAAAGACAAGATTCCGATTAGATCGCAAAGCAAATTAATTTATGCCAT